GGCTGGTGAGCTTGAACTGCTGACTTTGAGGTTCAAGCCGACCTTGCTGTCCAGCGCATGAACCCACAGCGCCACACCTGAAATTAACAGAAGTAATAGGAAAGCAGAAATTCATGACAGCAGAAACATTTATTGAGTGTCCCTGGGTGATAGAAACAGCTAACATGCACGGCTGCTAACAAAGTCTGGCGGTTTAAACCCACCCAAAGGTTCCTTGGAAGAAAATGTCTGGTGATCTACTTTTGAAAAAAAAACCACTGGCCAATGGAAACCCTATGGAGCACAGTTCTACCCTGACAAATGTGGGACTGGCATGTATCAGTCGCCTCAAAGGCAACGGGTCAACAGTTACTGAGATTTTGCTATGAGCTGGGCACATGGAGAACATCGTATCACGTCTTACTCTTTCCGGGACAGTGGTCACTGAACGGTGGTTTTTCTACCATGGTCTCTGCAATTCCCACCAAATGATTAAAGTCGATGTTGCTGTAAAGTGCCGTTGAGTCGATCTCGACTCATAGCGACTCTATATAGGATTCCTGAGGAGTGGCTGGTGAGCTTGAACAGCTGACCTTACAGTCCAGCTCGTTAACCAGCAAGTGTCACATGGGACAATGCAAATAGGGTGTATGGGACTCTAACACTGTGATTGGTCAGTTTTGCCATCTCAGAAGCAGGAACCATCCCAGGATCATCAAGAAAGGGCCACAAACGGAGTGCCAGATCCCTGTGTGGAAAAGTCGGGGCGGCAGAGGGAGAGGGGCAGAGGCCGACGGGGACACATGGCTGAATGGTTGACAATGAGAAGAGGCCCCCCTGAGCAGAACACTGCTGTCTTCTGGGTTGTTTCTGATCCTGAATTGCACACTTCAACTTCCCCAACAGATCCATAATCATGAGTATCGTCTGTGGGTTCTGTGTGGCCAAAGCCGTGGGTTATGAACTCCAGCATGTACAGTACCATGGGAGGAATGCTGAGGTCTGACTCCTTCACAGGAATGAGCCTTGGGGTAATGATGGGGATTCCAGTTCTTCCTTGTGAAGCTGGACGAGGTCAGACATGGCCCCCATGTCGTTTTTACAGTGACAAAGATGAAATCCACAGAAAAGCCGTGCAGAGCTGTGTAGCTCTGCAGACGCTCTGTCTGTCTCCTGCCTGTACCAGCCTCTGCTTGATGCTGGGAATTCGTTACTAACTTTCTGACAAGGTGCAATGGGACCTGACAGGTGCTGGCAGCTTCTAGGAGGAGCTGACTCAGCTGTCTTCAGGCTTACACTGAAATCTCACAGGTGGGAATCAACATTTCTGGTGAGGTGTGTGTTTTTTCCCAGGAGACTGCCGTGGGGGGTGGAGGGGGGTCAGTGACATGGGCACTAGTGTGAAACAAGAAACTGGGTAGGTGTGGGCTCTGGTGAGTAGTGTTGAGCACAGCGCTGTACAGCACAGGGGGCCACCGAGACCATCTGATCATTCGCTGGTCAGTCCACCACCCTCGTTGAATGGTGTCCGCACCACTGATGCAGCCTGGGCAACCTCCACTCTCCTCCACATGCCTGACAGACTCAACACAAAGGCACTGCCTACTTGGGGAGCCAGGCTGTCCACACCCGCAACGGAGGCAAAGTTCATTATCAGTAGCTTTAAACTCAGGTCCCCAGTGCTCAAACCCAAGGCTTAGTTAGAACTCTGAATCTATCATTCTTGAATTTCATGGCTCAAGCGGCACTAAATCAGTATTAGAACAGACTGCCTGGCCCCATCCCAAGAGCCTGCCCCAGGGGTCCTGGTGTAGGAAGCTCCCTGCACTATGCACACTGTGGAAATCACTGGTTTACCCGGTGAGTCCCAGCGCCCCAGGTGTGGGGACATGCAGTTGGTAGTGGCCCAAGTCTCTGGCCCTCGGAGACACATGTGGGTCCGTGGCATGGAGTGTGCATGTGGTGGGTATTGGGGCACAGCGGCATCCCCATGCCACACAGGGGCTCCCAAGCACAACCTGTTACTGCCACCTTCAACCCAGATATTCACACTGTGTTCTCAGGGTGTTGGGCAGAGACACTCAAACATATGGGGTGTCCCACTTCAGTGACTCTATGCTGCTGTGGTTGGGTGCTGGCACGTCTATTCTGACTGCGTCTTTCTCCTGTGAGGCCGCTGGGTGGACTTGAACTGCTGACTTTTCGGCTAGCAGCTGAGCGCTTAGCCATTACATCACCGGGGCTCCTTAATGACTGTACAGCAAAGACCATTTCCATTTTGCATAATTTTACCTTTCAGCTCAAAGCCTGAGGGATAAGTTTGAGGGAGCATGAGGCACAATGAGCCTTAAGCCAGTGGTCCAGAAACATGTGTCTCCCTTCTCGGCAGATGACAAGCTGCCCACACACATTTCTAGTGGTCTATGGGACTGAAAATTCGCTCAATATCAGGGTGAACTAGCCCCCATCCTGTGGTTTCCATGAGGAGCGGAAGATTAACTGACAAGAAGAGCAACTGTTTTCTGCACCGTGCACATCACACACCTCAGCATGACTATTGGCTATTGATCATGGGAACCAGCCTTCAGAAATGACTTTCGTGTGTTGACTTTTTTGGTGATGGCTTCTATGACTGACCTGGAGGATGGCACACTGTCCCCTGGTGGTGGGGTAGGGGTTGTGAAATTCCCAGGAGAAGATGTGACCCTGGCCACGTGGGCCCCAGACTCGGGCGTGTGACACCCCAGTGAGGGATGAGGTCAGTGAGAGCAGGGAACAGGGACCGGCTGGGGCCTGGAGCTGAGACCTCTTCACTCCATAGCAGAGCTGGGATTTGACACAAGCTTCTGAAGAGACCAGGCCCTCAGAGAGGGAGAGAGAGTCACCAAACAAAACAACAAAACAAGCTGGTCTCTTTAAGTCAATTCTGCAGTCAGAGCATGGGCCCCGCTGAAAGCTTTGAGGGGCCACGCCAACACCAGGGGACGCCTTCCCCCGCCTGTCATCTTTGGGTTCTCCCTTGATTTCTGTGTAACTACAACTGTCTCCCAGCTTCGGGGTCTCCCTCGCACCCCTCCCCCCACTGTTTCGTTCCCCCGCCCTTGACAATCTTTTTTTCTCCATTCCAATTGATTTATACCATCGTTAACTGAATGAAATGACTCCTTTGTGTGAGAATTTACAAAGGCTCCCAACCCTCTCATTTGGATTCCATCCAAGCCCCTCAAACCCACATTCAGAGCTCTCTGTTTCCAGAGCGCCTCCCCTCATCAGCATTCTTTCCCAACACACGCTTGTTCTCACCCTTCGAGGTGTCACTGTCACTGGCTCCATCCCCACAGCCCCAGACTCCCAGAATCTGAATCTCACATTACCTCGGGATTCCCCCACATTGCTTTTCCTCACAACTAGCTAGACATTTGCTGTGGCATCAATTCCAACCCCACAGAGAACTGGGTTCCATCCACAGGGTTTTCAATGGCTGAGTTTTCAGAAGGCGATCACCATGCCTTTCCTCTGAACCACCCCTGGGTGGGCTTGAACTGCCAACCTGTCAGTCAGCAGTCAAACACAGAATCCGTTGTTCCCACCACCCAGGGATGCCCCACTAACGGTCTTCAGTGGCTCAAATAGAGTCTCGATGAGAGAATCCCGAGTCTCTCAGATCAGAACCAAAGCCCTGTGCACATTTAGTCACGGGTTGCCCTTAGCCTGAAATGGCAGGCCTTCTTCCTTTTGTCCTGAGAGCAGAGCTGACCATTTAGTTGTGCCTTTTCGTTTTGTTTTCTGGTCCTCCTGAGAGTAGTTGTTAAGTGCCACTGAGTTTGTTTCAACCATAGTGACCCTCTATAGGGTTTCTGAGGCGTGGCTGGTGGGTTTGAACCACCAACCTTGTGCTTATCCAACAGTGCAACACAAGTATGGTTGTAAAAGAATAATTGACATCAACGTAGAATTCAATAAGGAAGAGGCAGGAACTACAATGATGAAGAGGACTTGCAGCTCTGTCCTTGGCTGTGAGTAAGGAGGTCCCGCTCTCCCCTGGAGGGGGTTTCCCTAGGAGAGTCTAAGACTCTCCACCTGTCCCCTCTCATTCCAGAGGTACCCCCCTGCACACATCCGGGCATCAATTATCAGTGGAACCTCAGAGAATACAGATGACTAACAGATATATAAATACAGATGACTAACAGATATATAAATACAGATAACTAACAGATATATAAATACAGATAACTAACAGATATATAAATACAGATAACGCAAGGGTCCTTCATTTGAAGGGGAGATGTGCCCACCAGACTTTAAAAAGGAAATAACCTTTATTTCCAGAAGCACGCGCGCGCACACACACACACACGCACACACACACGTGCACGCAGCTTGCCTCCGAGGACCCCACAGCAGTAAACCCACGTCCTGCAGAGTCCCCACCTGTTCATGTGCCCTACACGTCCCCACCCATGATGCTACAAGTTTTCCATCTTCCCGACTCCAGCTCAAAGTGACTGTACACAGAATGGCCTCCTGGGCCAGAGCCTCTCCCTTTTCCATCCATCTCGAGGCATCAGCTACTCCTCGCAAAACAACTGTGCTGCAAAAGCCTCCAGCACAGGCTCAGTGGTCAAGAACACATTTCCACCTCCTCAGTCTAGCACTTAAGACCTCCAGTAATCTGCCCCTGACCTATGCCTCCAGCCTTACAGGTCCTCTGCTCTGGAAGGCAGTGTCCTGTTCGTGGCCAGCCCTGACTTCAGTCACATGGGCCCCTGTTTCTGCACCACCCATGAAGACCTGCCCCACTTCCAGTGCCCGGTCATCCCTGCCAGCTCTGAACAGCTCCACTCTCAGCTGGCTCCGAGAGGTCATTCCCATGTACACATGTCCAGGTTCCCAACTAAACTAAAGTCACTTGAGGCAGCAATTGTAGGCGCGCAACTCCATCGCACCTGCCGGGGAGAAGGCACCATGGCACGTTGGCGCTCTGTCTCTCCTGGCTGTCTCCCTGCCCGTGGTCTTACCTGTAATATCTGGACTGCAGGTAGGTGGAGCACACAGCCTTGGACACATGACTGGCAGAGCCGAAGTCTATGACCTTGACCCTGTAGGGCTGTCGGGATGGATCCACCAGCATGATGTTCTCAGGTTTGAGGTCCGCGTGGATGAGACCCAGGCTCTTCAGCTTCATCAGGGCCGTGGCCACCTGCTGGAGGACGGGGCGGATGTACTTGAGGGGCAACGGGCTGAACTTGTTCTGCTTCAGAAAGTCATAGAGGTTCTGCTCTAGCATCTCGAAGACCAAGCACGTGTGGTTCTTGTGTTGGAAACACTCGTAGGCCCGGACGAAGTTGTAGTCATCCGCGCTCTCTGTGCTTAGGCGGGCTAGGATGCTCACTTCAATCTGGCCCTGCCGGGCGTAAGACGGGTGATTCTTCAGGATCTTGATGGCCACAATCTCGTTGGTGCCCCGCTTCCAGCACTTGACCACCTGCCCAAACGTCCCCCGACCCAGGAACTCGAGGACCTCGTACGTGTTAGTCATGGAACACAGCACCTCATGCTGAACCAGCTGATAATCGCCCTCGCTGTTGGAGCCGCTGTTTTTGGAGGTGGCAGTTGATGTGGTGGCTACGGTGGCCCCGCTGGCATTGTTCTGAATCATGGGTGGGTGCTCTTCGATGATCTGCACGCTGCTTGTGGTCTCGACCTCCTCGCTCTTACGCTTGAGCCCACATTTTTGGTAGGTGTCAAGGAGGCTCACGGTGCTTCGACGCATGAGGTTGTGTGGCCCCCCGAGGACCTGCCCAGTGACCGAGGTGCTGTTGGCTGATGTGACGACGATGTGCCCGGTGCTGCCTGGGAAGATGACAGTCTGCTCGTAAGGTAGGCTTGGGTTGGGGATGGGCAAGGAGGTGCTGACGGTTGCGGTGGCTGGCTGCGATGGCGGTATATTCTTGCTCTGGTTGTAGACTTTGCTGTGGGAGCCGTACCCAGTCATGTCCCAGTTGGAACTAGGCTCGACTTTCAACTTCTTCACACTACAGAAGGCACTTGATTGAAGGGTGGGAGGGGAGAAAACTTGCACATGTGAGGCCATACCTACAAGAAAAGGAGAGGGAAGCATGAACATCTTCCTGGTTGCCATCACAGGCTTCATGCAACAGATGCGGTTTGGCTTTGTTCAGCAGCCTGACAGGAGACAATACCTTCCTCCCACCTCAACACAAAGGAGCTCTGGTAGCGTAGTGGTTACGAATCGGGCTGCAAACTGCAAGGTCAGCAGTTCGAATCTACCAGCTGTTCTGCGGGAGAAAGATGAAGCTTTCTTCTCCCGTAAAGATTTACAGCCTCGGAAACCCTGTACAGGGTCGCTATGAGTCGGAACCGACTCCACGGCACATAACAACAACAACGTAAACACAGGGTCAGAACACAGTCCACTGAGACAATGTCCCACATCTTAATTTGGTGAGTTGCTACCAGGAGATGGGAGCTTGTGAGTAGCCATCTAAGGTGGTTTCTCCTGGTCCGGAGTGAAGAATAGTGAAGAAAGTCAAAGACAGATGGAGCAGTCCAATGAACTAACGGAGCCCTGCAAACCTCAGTCTCCACCACCCTGAGACCAGAAGAACTGGATGGTGCCCAGCTACCAAAACCTACCGCTCTGAAAAGGAGTACACATCATTAGAGGGTCCTGGACAGAATGGGAGGGAAATATGGAACAAAGCTCAAAATCCCCCCAAAACACCAGGCTTACTGGTCAGTCAGACACTGCTGAAACCCCAAGACCATGGCCCTTAGTCACCCTTTAAGCCTGAGACTAAACTCATCCCCCACCCCCCTGGCTCCATTTCCAGCCAAACACCAGACAGTTCTAGAAGGTGAACACTAACATTAGGGAGACACACACTCCTTAGAACGATCAGCCATTTGAGATCGAAAGGGCAGCATTACCCAAGGGCAAACTTCACAAGAGTTAGGAGAGAAGGAGGAATGGAAACGGTAAACTGAGAGTTACCGGGGTGAGTGGTGTTGCATGTGGGGACTGCCATCAGTGATGTGACAGCAAATGTGTACGAACGGTTTAATGGAAAATGGATTTGCTCCAGAGCCTTCACCCAATTTGCAATAAAAAGTTAAAAATAGACTTTCTTTTAAAAAACGTTTTCCTGTGAATTGAGTGAGGGTTTACAGAGCCATTCAACAATTCGGACACATTTTGTTTCACCTTAATGACTGCAGTCCTCTTAATGTAACCTCACTTAACCCACTTCCTCCTTGTTTCCTGTTCTCAGTCCTCCTTCCAGACTTGGTCCTTAGGTAAATGCTGCCCTTTTGATCTCAGATGGCTGCCTATTTTAAGGTCTGCGCACTTTTGTTTTTAAAGCAAAGGACAGTGAGTCCCCAAATTCATTTTCCTCCCTGCACAGGCTCCCCTATTATCACCATGGTGCATTCCTGTGGTGCATTAGTTACAATGGGTGACCCCATATAGACACACTGCTGGAAACTAGAGCCCACAGTTCACAGAAGGGCTCCCTCTGCACTTTTCTAAGAGTTTTGACAAATGTGTGAAGGTACGTGCCCACCATGAAAGTACCATGCAGAACAGCCTTACCACCCCACCCTTCAGATGCCCTGCGTTCCACCTACTCACCACTCCTTGACCCTCCCTAAACCCCTGCCAAACACTGCTAGCTATATTTTGGCTTTTTCCCAAATCTATCATCGAAATCACAAAGTACATATGTGGGGAGTCTTTACAGACTGGCTGGCGCTGAGGATGAGCACCAAAGTCCGTGGGAGAGAGATGAGGCTTTCCGCTCCCGAAAAGATTTACAGCCTGCAAAAACCCTACAGAGGGTTGATAGGACTCGGAATTGGCTCGGTGGTATTGAGTCTTTTGCTTAGCGGTAGTCACTGGCGGTTCCTCTACATCATTCTGCAGTATGACAGCACATTTCTTTGACTCACTTAAGACGACGCCCCATAGTTCATGACTGAAGGACAATCTTGGGTGTTCACCATTTACTTTTCAGTTAGCAATTAGTTTATGACAGACCCTGATTCTTCCTCAGTTCCCACTGGGTTGTATTCTATCTACTAAGACTGAGGACCCTGCCAGCTGGTCCAGCTACCTGCTGTGTTCTTAGTCACCCCTACATCAGGACAGCCACATCCCATCCCATAACCCGTTCCTCCCAAACCTCACACCTGCTGGATTATGGGTGGACCCAAATTCCCCCTGCCCTACTTGTTAAGTGCTGCTGAGTCAGTTCCAACTCTTAGCAATCTTGTACAGGGTTTCTGAGGAGCAGCTGATAGGTTTAAATTGCTGACCCCGTAGTTAGCAGCCCAGTGCTTACTCTATACCAGGACTCCTGGTCCCGTTATATGACTTCTGTGGGGTTGAAGGGATTCACATGTGATTTCATTTAGACCACCCAAAACATTTTAGCAAGCAGCCCTGGTGGCCCAGCGGTTAAGCACTCAGCTTCTTACTGAGAGGTTTGAACCCAACAGCCACTCAAGAGAAAGATGTACCAATCAGCTTCCACGAAGATGCATCAAATAGCTTCCACGAAGAGGCACCAATCAGCTTCCACGAAGATGCACCAATCAGCTTCCACGAAGAGGCACCAATCAGCTTCCATGAAGATTATTGCCTTGGAAAACTTATGGGACCATTCTACTCAGCACTACATGGTTAGCTTTTCGTTTAAAACATTCTATTAGCCTTCTGTTCATCACCAAGCATTTACTGTCCTCTTGCTGCGTCATCCTTCCCAGTTTTCTCTCAAACCCCTGCATCATTCACTATGCCCTGCTCATCCATCTTTCAATTTCTCCATGTAATAAGGAGCTCTGGTAGCATAGTGGTTACGAATCAGGCTGCAAACCTCAAGGTCAGCAGTTCAAAACTACTAGCTGTTCTGCGGGAGAAAGTTGAGGCTTTCTGTTCTGGTAAAACACAGCCTCAGAAACCTTGTATAGGGTCGCTGAGTCAGAATTGACTCCACGGCACATAACCACCAACTTCCACCAATATGGACTCCTGGTGTGGCGCTGTGGCTCAGCACCGGACTGTGAACCACAAGGTCAGCAGTTCAAACCCACCAACCCGCTCCTCAGAAACCCTATACAGGGTCACTACAAGTCAGATTTGACCTGACAGCACTTATAACAATAATCGGATCTAAGTCCCTAAAAAAATAGGGCCAAACCAGCTACCATTGAGTCGACTCCATCCTATATGTGTCAGAGAAGAACCATGCTCCATAGGTTTTCAGTGGTTGGTTTTTTTGGGAAGTGGTCATTTTGAGGGGAAGTAGATTGCCATGCCATTCTACTGAGGAACCTGTGGGTGACCTTGAATCATCAAGTTTTTGGCTAGCAGTCAAGTATATTTATGCCACTATATCACTTGGTTGTGCCACTTTTGTGCCATTCAAGTCCTGAAATCAAAAACAAATGTATTGCCACTGAGTCAATTTTGACTCCTAGAGACCCTATACGAGATACTTAGTAACTTACTGGTCTTCTGCCTTCACGTGCATGCCAGTTTGGAAGGCGAGAGTGAGAACCATGTGCCCTCTTCTTAGCTTTTACCTTCTCCCCTCTGATCAATGTTTTTTGCTCCTTTTTCCTCAAAGCTCACTCTTTAATCAACCCATCCCCCTACCCCCGGCCATACAAACAATAAAGATGCATTCTTACAGGTTAAAAAAAGAAACTAAGCTTTTCTTCCACAGAAACCTTGGGCAGGTGGCTCGAACCACCAACCTACAGGTTAGCAGTAGACGCAAACCCCTCGTGCCACTCAAGCTCCTTTAAGTGACTTCCTAACTGCCGAATCCAATGGCCTCTCTCCAGCCTGTTCTCCTTGACCTCTGTGCAGCATCTGATACTGCAGACCACAACTTTCTTCTTGAATCCGCGCGGCCTCTCACTATCTGAGTGTACACCCTGGGCTCTGGCGACTCTCTTTCCTCTTCTCTTAACAGCCTGGCACTCCCAACGCCGTGCCTCTCTGCTCTCTCCAGAAGACATCATCCTTTCAGACACTTTTAGTGGTCACCTCTGTGCAGACTTCCCCATAAGTTTGTCACAAGCCTGGCCCTTCTCAGACGTCCCAGCACTCTCTCTCTCTGCCTCCTGCCACAGTATCACACAGGCTTCCAAGGCTGAGCTCTGCTTCTCCTAAAAATCTAGCCATTTCACCCTCTAGCGTTAACATGAAATATTTTTCTAGTTAGCTGGTTCCCAAACCCTGGATTTACCTTTTCTTCTTCATCTGTGCCTCCATGGCCATGAAGATGCTAAATCTTACTAATGTCTCCCTCCCTCAAAATATTCTTGTGCCCGCTTGTTTATTTTTCTTCTTCCAGCCACGTCGGAACCCTATACAGGGTCACTATGAATCGGAACGGACTCAACAGCATACCACCACCACCACTCATTGTTTCTAGGAGTCCTGGTGGCAATGTGGGTTAAGAAGTGGACTGCTAGCCGAAAGGTCGGTGGTTTGAACCATGGAAGAAAGAGAGGTTGTCTGCGTTAGTGAAGATTTACTGCCTCATAGACTCTGGTAGCATAGTGGTTACGAATTGGGCTGTGAACCTTAAAGGTCAGCGGTTCGAGACTACCAGCCGCTCCGCGGGAGAAAGATGAGACTTTCTACTCCCGTAAAGATTTACACCCTCGGAAACCCTGTACAGGGTCTCTATCGGTCAGAACTGACTCGACGGCACTTAACAACAAGACCCTGTATAGCAGTTCCATCCTATAGGGTTGTTAGACGTCGTAATCTACTAGATGGTAGTTGTTTAGTTTTGGATTTTATTCATTGTTTCTAGAAAAGTCTTTTACTTCCCACCTGCACACTCTTCTTACCACCCACTTCTGGCATGCGTTCACTACTTCTTCAACTTATCCAAAGGCTATATGTACCCCAGTACCTTCTCCCCTTATAAAAGCATGACTGAGCTTTGTCTTCGGAACACAATTTATGTCCAAAGTAAAACGACCTCAGGCTGCATAACCGAGGAGGTAGAGGAGAGTGGATGGGACCAAACAATAGAGGCTGGGGTTCAAGAAGT